TCTTCGGGGGCTGAGGGCCGGGATGTGGGGAGGACCCGGGTGTCGGCAGAACCGTCCTCGGCTTCCCGCCGCTCGGCCGACTGGGGTTTGTCCTCCAGGCGCCCGTCCTCGGGTGTGGCTGAGAAAAGGCGCTGGTTGCGTTTCTGCTGCCTCGGGAGCCGGGTGGTTGACGCGTCTGCCTCCTGGCGGGGGCAGTGACCTTGGTTTAGGGAAGAACCGATTTTCCAGGGGCCACGAGCTGCTGTTTAACTGTCTCCCCTTCCCTGTCCCCCCGTCCCGGGACCGCCCGGTGTACACCGCCTGTGACAGCCCCTCGTCCCGGGACCCGCCCGGTGTACACCGCCTGTGACAGCCCCTCCTCCTGGGACCCGCCCGGTGTACACCACCTGTGACAGCCCCTCGTCCCGGGACCCGCCCGGTGTACACCACCTGTGACAGCCCCTCGTCCCGGGACCCGCCCGGTGTACACCACCTGTGACAGCCGCGCAGCCACAGCCTCGGCTGACCTGGGCAGCTTTCCCTGCGCAGAAAGTCAGGTGGGGCTGCGGGGACCCAGCCTCGGAGAGACCACGTGGACTCGGGAGAACTTCCCGGGGCGACTCCCAGGGTCAGGGACTCCGTGTTGGGGGACCAGCATGAAGGAATGGTGCACAGCTAACTGTGACACCAGTTTACTCTTAAAGCAGCTGCAGAAATTGTTTGTGAAATGGGCCTGAGAAACTTCCCCAGACACTCGAACACCAGCTACAGTTTTCCATGCCACCCAGCGATGACCACAGACGGGTTGTGTCCTGAAGCCAGGGACCTGCCACAGGTTCAGATGGGGCCTCATCTGAGCCCCTTGTGGTGGCAGAGTTCATGCTGTGGTCCTGGCACTGAGGCCCTGACGCCTTGTTAGCCGTTGGCCAGAGGCCAGTCTCGTTCCTTTGCCAGGTGGCCCGTCCATAGGCCCTGTCACCTGGGAGTCTCTCTGGCTCGCCTGATGGTCAGCCCAGTCAGGTCGCCCCCCCTGCTGACCCAGTCCTGGAAGGCTCCTGTGGCGTTCACAGTTCTGGTGGCTCAAGGGGAGGGTTATACAAGGCATGCTGTCCAGAGGCCGCCAATGTGGGGCAGTCTTAGAATTCTGTCTGAAACAGTGGTAGATGTCAGACTTTGATCAATTTAAGAGTAAAAAATAACGGGCAATAGGCTGACCTGACCCAGTAAAATATGTTCTTAAATCCTTGAGTCTCAGTGGGACATGTGTACCTGTGTTTAAACCACCGCCTTGTCTTCCACTCCCCCACCAGGGACTTGGGTGAGAGCCAGAGTTCTGTATCGCCTACTCCACATGAAAACCAGAACTGGGGGGAGACTGCCTTGGTTTCACAGTAATAGAGTGTGAGTGATCTGGAGATGCAAATAGTTGTACATATAATTTGCAGATCCTAGAATTTGAAAGCCTAACAAAATACATGAGTTTTTTATATTAAATACTTAGTACTTTATGAAGAGATAAAAGGAATAATTAAAGTTTAGAAGGCATGATCTGTACTTTTCAAGGAGTTTGTGGCCTAGTTTGTTTAAGTATGCTCACCTAAACCAAGAGGGAAAGGTGGGAGGCTCCCAAATGTGGCCTTTCCTGTCTCCTGTCTTCCCAGACAGCCTCCTGTCAGGTTCCTCTCCCACCTGCCTGCTCTTGTCACTTTTCTACCTCAGGGTTTTTCCTAATGTGCTTTCCTCTGCCTCGAAATTTCATTTTATCTGTTCCAAGTCCTATTATATTTATACTCTTTTTTAGCTTAAATGTTAGCGCATTAAAGGCATTTTCTTTGACCCCTCAGACTCGAAGGTCCTGACCTTACATGCCTTCAAAGCATCTCAGGGCTATTTCAAGCACTGTTTTCATGGTTACAGGCGCATTGTTGTACTTACGCAGTGACTTGTGTTATATCTTCTCTGTTTTGGTGAAGGATCCATGATGACATTGAGTGGGTGCACCACAAATATTTGTTGAATGAATGAGCATTTGAATATTTGCCTAGGAAAACTTCCTGGAAGAACCAAAACATTTCCCAGTTGGAGAGCAGGTTGGATGGTTAGTGAGGCCACTTTTAGGGAGCTTGAACACCCATCTGTGTTGATCGGACTAAAAGTACCAGGGATTTCTAGGTTCTTAGGACTGGCATAATTAAAGGGGCATTTTTTCCAAATGCAAATTCGGTAATGGTTGTAAAATGAATTGTGTACAGGGCAGTCTAGATTGGGTATTTTGCTAGATGTATAGATTCTTGGCTTGTATTTCCCCTTCTCCAAGTCTTTTTCAATCTAGGACCATAGCCACCAGTCGCAGGCGGCTTGTGGGCAGGGACATGCACTGATCTGAATGGAGATGTGCTGCAAGTATCAAATGCCAGAGTTTGAAGACTTAGTATAAAAAATAAAGTATCACATAGATATGTTTTTAAAATAATTACTTATTGAAATTGTATTTTACATGCATTGTAGTAAATGAGATATATTATTAAAATAGTTTCACTTGTTTCTTTTCTGTTTTTAAGCTGACTACCAGAACATTTAAAATTACGTATGTGGCCTTCGCTGTCTTTCTGTTGGACAGCGCCAGTGTCCTGGACAGCCCTTGGGGAAGACGTGTTTTAGCCGGCAGCCCTAACGATTCTGAGGCACGTCCTTAAATCACTCTTTGAGGAGAAGACTTGAGAGCTGAGTTGATGACTGTGATGGAGAAGGGTGAAGTGTGGTGCAGATAAACCCAAGGTGCGGGCCTGCAGTGCGGCGTAGTGTTGGCCACAGCTGTGGGGGAAGAGCAGCCCAGCCTGAGCCTGCACCGTTCCTTATTTATTGCAGTAGCAAAGTTCTAGAAGCTTTGGAGGGACTTCGTTCCCATACTCTTGGGTGCCTGGTTTGCCATTGATCCCCTATTATCTGAAGCACACAAGCTTAACCTTTATGCAGTGCTTAAAAAAACCTTGTTTTCAGTTACTTGATTCACAATTCAATCAAT